ATGTGTTTGATTAACACTATCATTCATTTATTTTCTTATTTTATTTTCTTTTTCTTTATTAATGCATATGATCTCCAAGAGAACTACTAAGATTATATGTATTTTATTCTTTATGTACTTTATTTATTTATATTGGGAAAACATGTATTTAAAGGCTATATTTTTTCGTTAATTATCTTTAGAGTTGTCTGCTCCATTCTCCATTAATAAAATTTTCCTTTAATAATGATAAACTATTAATGACCAATATGTTTCTTTACTTAAATCATTACAATCAAGTTTCTGGAGATCGTTCGGTTTGCACCAAATTCGATAACGAGAGGTCTGTAAAAAACAAATTGTGATTTCATCAGACCATAGGATACACTTGAACTTTTGAACAATCCAACCTTCATGAGAATAGGTCCAATTGAGTCTTTTTTTGATATTGGTGGGGAAAACAAATAGCTTGGAATGAACAACACATGATCTCAAGTTTTTTTTATATAAAGTATAACGAATGGTACTTTCAGAAACTTTTTTTTTTTTATGTGTTGTGAAAAGAATATTGATCTGGAAGAGAGTTAATCAGCGATTTCTTTAAATCAATCTTTTTAGTTTTTTATAATCGGTAAGATAAGAAAACTTGGACATCCAAACCATTTTTTTTTTTCTTGCGCAAATTCACCTAACTTACGAAACTTATTTATTATATTTCAGGTGGCTGTTTTTCCACAGCCCACAGGGGTTGCAATCTGGTGTACTGAATCTTCTCTTAGGTACTCATAAATGACAGAACTTCTTTATCTCTCCATTAAATCCTTTTTGCTACACATTTTAAAGGGAAAAAAACCGGTTGGTTTTTTTTACAGTAATCTGTGGTATACAAACCTTGTTTAAAATTTTGCATAACATCACTTATGTGTCACACAACATTTGACGAAAATTTCAAGCAAAAATTTTAAGCGAAAAAAAAATGGATTTATGAGAAATTTTTTTTTTAAAAAAAAAACTGGATTTTTGCTTTCAGTCTTATACAAAAAAGGTAATGCTGAGTCATCGCCACATAACTTCTGCATGACTGGATGAAATTGCTTAAAATTTTAGTATATTATATATCAAGTTTCAATAAATATATGTTAAAAAATTTATAAAAAATTAGTTACCACAATTTTAAATAATTAAGTGTAAAAAAGTGTTCACAATAATATGATAGGTAGCTGTACAATTATATATTATTTTTATTAAATTTCAAATAAATATCAATATTTAATTTATTAATATTTAATAAAATTTATAAAATTTAAATGTTTTGAATTTTTAAGGCAAGTAATATATTATTTTTATAAATTGTATTTAAAGATTTAGTGTTGTTGATAAATAATCTGGATTGAAAAGATTTATATATACAATTTTAATTGTAATGAATCAAATTGATTTAACAAATAAATGATTTCAGCCTGATGGAGGATTAAAAATAATACTTTAAATTATTGTAAATTGCATATAATTATATAAGCTAGAATATACAATTTAATAGAAGGTTTAATTAAGAAATAGTGAATAGAAAATTTTAAAATTAAGATTTAAAATAAAAAAACCAACAGTACTGTATAATAAGTTTATTTTGATATTTTTTTTATTTTTGAAAACTCAAATATATACAGTATATTATTCTTAATATAATTTTTTTTTTAAAATTTATAATATGATAAAAATGTTAAATTAAAATCTTTTTGATAAACCAATAGGCTTATATTAATTTATATATTTACTGTAACTTTGTAAAAGCGTTTTATATATTCTTGGTATCACATATTTTTATACTTAAAAATAATCCAAATGATTTAACGTGCGAGACTGTTAAGCAATATCATATTCATTGGAGAGTCGCATTGTTAACTTTATTATTAAGTTACAAAAAAAATTTTTTTAGCAAATTGCATCAACTTTAATGTATACAATGTGTAAAAAGCATATACGTAATCCAAATATACCTTTAACGGTTTTGATTGAAAATATGTTAAGAAAAGTATTAAATCAACTTTATTTTTTAAAAGTTTATAGGCCTTGATAAATAAACACCTCGATTCTTTAAAAACATAATAAAAGCGCGCCCAGATAATTATGATAATTTTTAGATATTGAAAACTCAAATATACACAATGGTGCGTGACGCAGTCGACTTTTGTCCGAACGGACAAACGGCAATCTTTTTGTGTAACATCTGTGATATACGTTACACATACATCCGATAGACTTATTTATTCCACAGTGCAAAGAGAAAAAATTCAAGTAGCATAAAATGGCCCACTTTCGCACGGAAGGATACAATGGATATTCGGTGAGATTATGATTTAAAGTCTGGTGTATTCTGAATTATGGATTCAATGCAGAAATGGTTATTAAAAAAAATATTTTTTCGGGCAAAATCAGTTACAATATAGCCCATTCATCGAAAACAAAATAGCATGCTCGACATCAGCGAATTTCGGTTTAGTCGGTAATGGAAGATTGTATATTATAAACATTGGAGTGGGACCGGACGGTATCAACGTGGAAAGAATGTGAGGCATATCTTTGCAGAATGGATTAGTGTTCTAATCTGACGACAATCACTTATTGAATTTTTTTAACTCAACATTTTAGGTACGACACTCAAGATGGATTGTTTGACTGTTCGTGGAGTGAGCTCAATGAGAATCAAGTTGTCACTTCTAGCGGTGACGGTTCAATAAAGCTGTGGGATATAACCCTTCCGGTGCTGGTTTGATCTTATTATTTTAACCTTGTTCAGACGGAACCATTTTCTCATCAGAGTTCAACGATTTCGTTATAAAACAGGAATTCCCGATAAGGAACTGGCGCGAACACGGGAGAGAAGTTTTTTCCGTGCATTGGAATTTAATAAAAAAAGATTCCATTGTTAGTGGATCGTGGGATAAGGCCATTAAATTGGTATGATTAATGGTTTGCGATTATTATGATTACAATTTCAACATATAAAATATTGATTTTTATACATCTGAACTTTATATCATCTAAAATATTATCTAATCGAATTCATCAAATGATCGGAATGGAACATAAAATTAGTGGAACCCAGAATTAACACAATCTGTTAGTACCTACGCAGAACATTCCAGCTGCGTATACAGCACAATATGGTCTCCCTATAATCCTGACATCTTTGGTTCGGCATCCGGAGATCAAACCGTAAAAATCTGGGATACCAAAATTCCCCGATCAATCCAAACGATAAATACTCATTCTGGAGAAGTTCTATCGCTAGATTGGAATAAGTATCAAGAGAACGTAGTGGTTACCGGATCGGTTGACCGCACAGTGCGAGTATGGGATTTGAGAAATAATGGTCGCGAGCTCATGTGTTTGCGAGGACACGAGTTTGCAGTCCGCAGGGTAAAATGTTCACCACACATGGGTAACATAATAGCGAGTGCTAGTTACGATATGACCATGAGATTATGGGATATTGAAAAAGGAAATCCGTTGGTGCATGTTCATGATGCTCACACCGAATTTGTGCTAGGGATAGATTTTAATTTGTATATTGAAGGACAGATTGCCACTTGCGCATGGGATGAGAAAATACATATTCTGCATCCTCCTTGCTTGGAGCCAACACCCCGTCCCATGGTTTAGATCGCAATTTTCGTGGGTCGGTCGAATAGCGGAAGTTCCTTGTATTTATTTTTATCAAACAAAGGGCGATCCATTTCACAAAGATTTCACGGAGGGTGCTCTATGAATACGAAATATTGAAGTCTATATGCATTCATGTGTTATGAATGATTATTTTAATCTTGAATCCAATTGTGCGTGTATGTCGTTTTGAGCACAATTAACATTATGCTAATTAAATTTTATTTCGCGCACATAAGGTCACAGATTATTGTGAGGTATAACTCCTCAACGATAACATGACATGACTTTACACCGTTAAACTATCAAGGATGCATTTTCTTCTTTCATTCGCCCCCCTTTGATATTAGAGAAAACCCTGAAAATTTCTTTTATTAAAAGTAGGAGATAAAAAAAAAAAGTAAATAAAGTCGCATCCGTTTTTAGGAAAGCAAAATAAAAAAAAAAAAGAAATAGTTCTAACGACGCGAACATCTATACAGTTGTTGATTCTTATGTACTGTATATACAAAACGTTTTCAGTTCAAGTCTTTCTCTCGATGTGGTGGGATGTCTGGTGGATGTGAATAAAAATATACATGAAGAGCTTAAAATATACACAATAAATATATATATAACCTAAATATGTACAGTAAGAAAAAGATTAATGAGAACAGAGTGCATAAGCGCACAGGATCTTCTATCAATGAATAAAGCGCTTCCACCAAGACTTTGTAAAAGGATCTTGAGGAATGATAAGAAAAAAATTGCATGGTGATTCTATTCTAGACTTCAGGGAAATCTTCGTCTACTAATTTAATGGTAAAATCACGAATAGCAGCATTGGTTAATCCGGAGAATGTTTTTTCATAAGAGCCGTTCTTGAAAGGCCTATTGAATGGATAACCTAAGGGCTTCGCATCTGGAATCTTGTCTGTCCATTTTTGTGCACCGCACAGTAAAGTACTGCCACACTCGTCATAAGTTGGCACCAGGTCATTCAATCCATCCGAGATAAATACGATTATCTTATATTTCGCCCCTTCTTTCGTTCCTCTTGGCAAAATCATATTATATGGCCACCCACAATCGCAGAACAATAATTCGGCCTTTTCTTTATCATTATAACCTGTCAGTGTTGTTCTAAATGTGGCGTTTATTTGGGTCTCATCCATTAGATTCACGGTTTTCTGTGCGGGTTTGCGTATTACCACAGCCTTGTCGCATGATCTTGTTATCACGGCTTTCTCATAGGGTTTCAGGGCGCGTTTGAATTTGTCCAATTCAATCCAGTGCACTGGCGAATCGGCAAGTTCATCCGGAACGATAAATATGCGGATTGTGATTATTGTGGTCTATTGAAATATAGTATATTTGATTAGTTCGGCGATGCATATGACGCACAAAACACGATTAAATAACATATATATCTACAATGTCCACATTATTCTTCACTCTGATAAAGTATTGCCAGTCCCTAGGGTACACATAGGTGATGTTCTCCTTATCAAAATTATCTTCTCTCCACACCAGAATTCGATTTTTCATCTTGGTATGTAACTCAGAGGTGACTACAGTTACATTGGAACGATCAACATCAAAATAGTTTCCTCCAAAAAGTTTATTGGCATACGCTTGCCATTCATCTTTCTTGCCATCAGGAGCAACTTTGAGCAATACATCGGTAAACGAAAAGTAAATATCGGTCGTCCGAATAGTGACATTTGGTGCCTCGCTCAGGAAATCATTGGGACCCAAGTGATTCTGCCACCTCAAAAATATATTATCCAAATGACGATGCCATCTCCAAAACAGTGGATCACGCAATCCAGCACGTGCACCGACCAGTACGCTCGGTGCCCCTAAAACACGTCAGTTAAATGATACCTCATCAGGCGAGGAAGAATAATATAGTAGTAGATGAAAATATCACTTACAATTAATGCTGTACGGATGCATGATATAACCGAGCACCGCGTGTCCTATGTTGTGCAATATTAATTCGAGATTGCTACCGAGAGTAACCGCTTCCGTATCGTTCCATCCTAATTTCACGGGATGAACCACCGAGTCATTCTGATCGATCCACTTTATCAATTCGTTGTAGGTATACGTTAAGAATTTAACAGTGTAGATAATAAAGTATCCGCCCATATCCTGAACTGAATGTGGCAATTATATTAATGTGCGAAAATGCTATTTAATTAAACGATCCAACAAGACGGAAAAAATACCAATGTCTTTAATTGATTCATTGGCCGGGCGTGCTGGAAACCAAACGCGAGGAGTCGAAGGATCCGAATCGTTATCTTGGGAAAGAAGTGGATCGGGATAGAAAGCCTCGAGTATAGGAGTTAAGTAGTCGGGCAATGGCTTAACAATTTCCAAACCGCATCCAAGACGGTCGGCGTCATACCTGGTCGAACGGGGAAAGAAAATTTACAATGTGTTGCGGACATTCACCAATGTATTCAATGCACCAACCACTCACCTCGACAGCATATGCCTGTGCATGTAAACAAAATTCTCGCCTTCACGGTCTTTACGAACACCATCAATGATAGTTGAAGGCATCACTAGATGCCAATGTTCATGATGCTGGTTTGCCACCGGATCATTACGCCACCAAAACATTAGATCATTAGCCGGGTCGTAGACGCTCTTGTCCGGCCACCCATCAGCATTGAGTTTAGCAGGTTCAGGATTTATAAATATTTTTTGAAGTTCCTCTAGATACCTCTGCTTTTCTTCATCTGAATAATATGAAACAGTTATAGGTACGCTGTAATCAGTGTAACTTGCAAGAATCTCGGTTATAGTCAAGTTTTTTTGCGAAGAGGTTGTAGTGTTTCGCTTTTGGATCAGGGCATCGCGTTCATATAATCGTTTTTTCGGCAATAATGGAGAGGCCTCTCGTTTCTGTTGGCCCCTTTTTTTTACCATGTAGACAAGACCGTAACGTGCCATCTCATCGGCGAATGCATCTGCATCTCGCTTCACTTTTCCATCATCATATTGACGTTTGTACAGAGCCGATGGATCTCTTTTAAATGCTCTCCTAGATATTCCGTCGTGATACTGTCAGGTAAATCGACGAAAGATGTGCAGTAAGTAAACGTTTCATTTTGTTCACGTGACGTTCTCATGCTCATAGGAATATTCACACTTTGTGAGCATTCTTCTAAATACCGGGGCACTATTCACGCCGTGGACAGACACCAACTTCTCTCTCGTAAAGAAACGGAGAACACCTTACCTCGTAAGATCCACCCTGTAGATAGTTATTATGCACCTCACCCACTTCTGCCATTAGAAATCGTAAAGTAATGTTTCAGAGAGTCGTGTAGTAGTAGTAGTAGTAGTAGTAAGAAGAGAGTGAATGTCTATTGAAGAAGAAAACATTTACAAAATCGATCAATTAAACGGGGATAAAAGCGATTTTATCAGTAATCCTCCAACCACGAACGAACAACAATAAAATCCTCAATATGAATAAAAGAGAAATTTCATTAAATCGTATAACAGGAGAAAAAGTAAACAAAAATTTTTTATACAGAGTAAATCCGAAAAGAGGCAGAATTGATAAGGTGTCTCTTTGTGGCTGTGGTGGTGAGGATGAGTAAAGTTCGAAAAGATGCATTTGTGGCTAGAGAACGAACAAGAAAAATTATCGAAACTTATATAAAATCGTTTTCAGACAAGAGCACTTTATTCCTGAGTGGCTTTTATTATTTATAATGTACATGACGTGATGCTATCGTTCGAGGTTCTTCACAATGAATCTGCCATATGAAATATGAGAATGACATGATTCGAAAAACGAAATTGCAACCATTAAATTCGTTCGTCACGAAACTTGTCCTTGATTATCGGAGAGCACATGTTCTTTGATTTTTTCCGAAAAAAACGATTGATATCGGGAAAGGGGCAATTTTTTGTTTCACCAAGGTTAATTGAGGCTTATTGTAAAAATGAATTTTCTATTTATGAGCGGTATTTCTAAGCGTATCATTATTTCATTTCCCGGAAATTCAGTTAACATAATTTCACCTCATGGTTGACTTATGATTACGCGTTTTATTTCAATGGTTTGCTAAGAAACATCATACCACCACCGACAGGCCCATATTTATACCATGGGAGAAGGCTTATATGAGGGAAAATCGATATTTCGGATGAAGGAGAGTATACAATGGCGTTGATCGCAAACTTAAAAAAAAAAAAAACGGAAGAAACTAAAATTCACATTCTTCTCGTACGACCACCTTATATGTTGTACGGTTAAAATTGAATGGGAAAGGAAAAAAGAAAAATCCTAGCATTTATTCTGCTCTCTCGCAGTATTAATATTGTATGACAAGCAATGATATGGCACTAATGTTAATGGTTAGTAGCGCTAAGGGACATTGCTCTGATAGTTACGATGAATCGCTCCAAGGAAAAAGATGACCGATTCAATTTCTACCGACTTACGTAATTGTCGCATGCACTGTGTATGTCAGTATAAATAGATGTTCGCATTGATTATTGTTTTGAATTTTGAATTACAGTACCTTAAAATTTAAAACATGTGATTATTTTCGGGAGGCTCAGGTTTTCTCTTTTCGTCTAATCCCTATATCCCCGGTGGCTATTCTACTGTACTATCATAACATACATCTTCGGTGGCTTATCGGTTGACAATGAGAAGCCACCACAGAATTACAACTTTGCATCAAACATATTCGAAAATTTTTTAATGAACCGAGCTTTGTTAAAGTACACTAGGCAGCAATTGCAGTTTCGATCCATCTATTTTCTAGACATATCGCACTAAAGCTTAATCTCAAATTTTAAAACCATCATATTAAAATTATTACCAATGGATCGAATACTCGATCTTTTCTTATCATGAAATTGCGAATATTTCGAATTCCAATGCCACACTATGATTACTTTGTGGTCGTATATTCTTATGGATCGGTGGATCAGTCAATTTTTTTCTTCTATAAATTATTTTGAGGTTATCTTCCATAGCTAAACTATGTAATGAATGAATTCCACGCCAAATAAGTTTACTTAACGGGTGAATTACGATCATGAATTCGCCACCCTTGCAACTTCAAATATGAACCTTCTTACAGGAGTTAGAATTGGTCTGAGTCAAATGTCAGTCGAATAGTTAAGAATTCAAAGATATATTATAAATGTAAAGTAAGCTTGTCTGTCATCTCTTTATAATTCATCGAAGAATTGCTCATCCAAAATTTATGCATTCCTACTTTCGTTGCATAATAAAAAATATACCAATTGATACACTTTTGGGGTACATTAATTAATTCGGAAAGCTTTCATCCTCGGTTAGTAAATAAATTTATTGTTTATTAGTACAAAAGTAAATTAATATACAGTATACCGGCTAAGTTTATTGCGTGGGCAATTTGTTTTTAACATTGATTTGATAATAACATTTTAATCTTCGTGCTAACTCTTCCTTACCTGGTGAACGCAAAGTACAATAGCGAAGCGAGAAACTATATCTACGAATCAATATGCAGGATGTATACACGTGAATTTGAACACGTGGCAAGATACAGATTATCCGTGCATAAATACTGTACCTTTTTGTGCGGTTCCATAATTCACTACCTCTTCGGGTTTATTAAAAACTAATAAAAATGATGCAGTCACCGAAATACGAATTATTCAATGAATCCACCGCCAGACACGGAATTTTAATTAAAGGATGGAAGATTGCCACCACCAAAATGTCAATCTTCAATTCACAAGAAATTGAAAAGTACGTAAGTTATGATGGAACTTTTCAGATAAGACACAAGGTCGAGACGAAATCTGATCTTGTTATCAACACAATTCAAGGGTTCAAAAAGAAACAAAGGTTCCATTGCCTGAAATGTTTTTTGGAAATAATTCGTTGCAAATATCAAATGATGATTACGGGCTCCTTTTCGAACTATCCCCGATTGAGGCATTGAAGCTAGTGGATACCACCAAGGAAGGTGGCGAGAAGGTCAAAGTTTCCTATTCGGAAGAGTGGAGCCACAGGAGGTAGATTTTTTTATGCTGTCAACCATTTAGATGACCTATTCGTTAACATTGCATAAACCTTCTTTATTGACCGATGAATCTTGTGAAGAGCCAAGAATAATGAGCATATCAAAGATGTGGTTAAACCATTTGACTGGACTTATTCCACTTCATATTCTGGTACGCTCAAGAGTGCTTTAAAAGGACAGGTATTCACTCATTTCCAATACTGCTCTTGTGCAAGTCCTAAGAATATGACTCGAGTGCTATCCTTTATTTTATTTATGATATTCAGAAATTTGAAATTACGACGGAACGCATTAACATAGAGAAGCTCAAAATACCTGAACCAATATTATTTTATGATGAAATAATACTTTTTGAAGATGAATTGGCTGATAATGGGACCGCTTTGCTTAATGCTAAAGTGGTGAGATTGGTTTTCTCGTTTCTCGTATGTCTGATGTCCCCGAAGAATCGTTTCAAGTTGACCTTTATAGTTCGGATGTTATTTTCTTCTTTATTTTCCGTGGCACGTTATCATCATCTTTATATTTATCATTATTGCTATTATTACTATTTAAAAAAATTTTCATATCATAGAGGGTAATGTCATCAGGTTTTTTTATTCTACAAAGATTCTTCCTGAGAGTTGATGATGTACTGTTCAGGACGAACGAAACAAGAATTTACCATGAATTTGGTAGTGACTATTGCTTAAGGGAATATTCATCGCGAGAAGAACATTATCACAAGATCAGATCGGTGAGTACGTGAAAAATTATGGTGATTCCTGTTACAGTTACTGATTTTATTTTACAATTCATTATATTATGTGCACAGCAAATACCAAAATATAAAGGTGATGATATATCACAGTTGACTGATCCTGATTGGGTATCATCCATGTTGCAAAAATCGGAGAAAGAATTGACATTGGAAAAATTAAAATTGAATGTCGGGTGAACGATATATCATGATTGATACTTTAGCTATTCGATTGGAGAAAATTCGAATTCTTCGCGTGACAAATTTTTTATATTGTAACTCGAAGCTTTCTTGATACTTGGCATTTCTTAATTTTGGTAATGCAAACGTTGAGAGAAATTTAGGTCATATGATTTAACAACATTAAAAATTAGTTGTTGAATACACATCATAAATGTTATCTATCCTTAAACCATGTTTAAATAATTGGTAACTAGGTTGACTAGCATGAATTTTTATCATGCTTGATAGCATTTGCTGCCTTTAATGAGCCATATAACATACCCACATATGTTCTATATCCTTATATGATTGATCAAACACTTGATGCTTTAGTCATGCTATTAGCCTCAACTTTGCATTATTAAACTCTTACCAGTAGCTATTTAAAAATTTCATAACCAATAATGAATAATAATAAAAAAGGGAAGGTAGGTAGAAACAAGTAAATAAAATTTAATAAAAATTTTTTCTATTTATTATTTACAATAATGGTTGCGGGGTTTTCTTTTAGCGCAGACGAAAATGATGCAAATAATGAAAAAGTAAAAACATATCATAATTATTGAACTAATAATAATAATGAGCGTTTGGTATTATAAAAAAATCATATTATTAGATTAGAAGTTAAAACAAAATAAACCCATCTAACATATTTGTAATGCTATATGCTGTGCTGCATATCTGTATTTACAATTCAAAAGAAATTTTCACAACACAATATTATATGTTGACTTTAATGCATTATTAACTATCATGGATTTTTATTACTTAATCCTCGCAAATATGCTTTCTATGATTCTATCATATATTCCGAATAAAACTTTACTTACTACATTATTTAGTAATATACATAAATTGACAATTCATATTTACTACATTATAATTTCAAATTGATGTTGAATTATAAATTTTATTATAATTCTTTAATAAAAAACATACGCCTTGTTAAAATATTCGATAACAAATCAAAAATTGTTTTGATGGAATTATAGAAATGATGATAGCCTGTTTTATGAAATCGATTGATTTTATGATATATTTAATTAAAAGACTTTTTGATCTTTTAAATTTATAAAATAAATGTTTACTGTGTATATGCATACGGTTGTGGATAAATGTATAATTTTATTGTTACAAAATGTAAAAAATAAAAATGAAAAATAAAATAAAATTTTAAAAAAAATTTTAAATGATATAAAGTATAAATACAAATGAACAAATATACTTAGTACAAAAGATATTATAAGACAAATTAACATATACATATATAATAATAATAAATTTAAAGCAAAACTTTTATTTCGTTATATACAATATATTATCTATTTCTAACTTATACTTTTAAAGTGCTAAAAAGTGCTAAATATGTATTAATATAAATATTTATTGATAATTAATAATTATATGATTATATCAAATATCTTAAATATTACAATCTTAGATTATTTATAAATTTATATTATCCAATACTATTTCTAATGTTAAGTTATTTTTTTAATACTTAATATACCTAAATATACAAATTTATTATCTTGTAACTAAATTTCTATATCTAGTAAAACCTGTTTTTTAAAAAGTATAAATTTTATTATTAGTATAAAAAAACAAAAAGAATTATATAATGATAACATATAATGGATATCCTTATACAATTAAAATTAAAGATAAGTCTCTAAATTAAAGATGAGTCCCTAAATTAAAGGCGAGGACATAATTCAAATGTTTCTCACTATTAAAAAAGTTTTTTTAAAAATATAAGGTCAAAAAAAAACCATCTACAAAGGTTTTTTGCAATTTAGGCTACTTAATCCAAGTATTTTTTGAATTATGACCTTATTAAAGTAATTAATAAATAATTACATCCCTTTTGAAGGGAAATAATTGATCTGCAAAATTTTATATACTAAATAATTTAAGGATTCATCCTTAATTAGAATATAATTAAGAATTAAAGACTTTAAAATTTTTATTATTTTTATTATTTTTAGACATATAAAAAGTAAAAAATGTATAAAAAAGAAAAAAAATAATAATAATATCTTTTTAAAAAATATTTAATTTATTATTTAATACTTTCACTTATTTTATATCATATTTTATATCTTTATTCAATATTATACAATTGGTAATTATAATATAATAACAAACTTATTAATTATATTATATTATATAAACTTTATAAAAATTTAAAAAATATTTTAAAAGTATTTTTTGTTATTACAAAAAATTATAATTTTTTTATTAATAACATTATACTAGATATTATTCAATTAAAAATCAAATTCTTTGAATTTTTTTTATAATTAAAGTTATATCCTTAAAAATATATTTATAATATATGTAATTAAAAAAAAGTATTTTTATTATTAATAAATTTTAAAAAATTAAAAAATAAATTTATTAAAATATACTGTATATTTTATTATTGTCAAACCAATTTTTTTACTTCAATTTAGGCTGCATACCTATTATGTTTATTAATTCTATACAGAATATACTTATATTTATATTAAAAATATTATAATAAAACTAAATTTATTAATATTATACAGTTTACCTATTATACATATAAGGTTTTTAAATATAATTATAATAAATAAAAAAATTTGTTCAATTCTATTTTTAAACATTTTATTAATATAAACATTATAGCCAATCTTTATTCAGAACTGTCACTCTTATATAATATTAAAAAAATTTTTTAATAGAAATTATTATCCAAAAAAAATTTAAGTAATAATAATTATATTAAAATAAATAATTGTTTAATAAATATTCATTAATTTTATCAAATTTTGGAATTATATGAATTAAATTATCTATTGCTTTTATATATATTGGATTATATATCTCTGTTAATTTAAGATATGCACATTTATACATGTATGGTGATTTTTTTGATTTAAATTCATATCATTGTACTAATACTAATTAAAGTGAAGGTCTCTAAATTGTTTCACTTATTTTTATTATTAATAAAATCTAAAAAAATTATATTGGTTTTAAAATAAAATAATATTTATATTTTAAATAATTATAATCATCTTTTTATAACAGATTTCATCATCTGTCATATAGTTATATAATTCTTTAGAATTTATTTTAATTAATACATCACTAAATTATAAAGTGTTATAATAATATTTATTAGATACACAGACAAAAAAATATCTTGAAAAGATGCATTAACACAATTGATATTTGTAATTTATTTTAAAAGCTTTCAAAGGAATCTAGAAAATGCATAAAATTAATCAATAAAATATTGATTAATTTTAACCAATCAAAAATTTAATTTATAAGTTATATTAATTATATCAATAAAATGATTTTATTTTTATATAATGACTTAATGATTTATATTTATAAAATAATTTTTGAAAGATAACAAAGAAAAGTTATAATTTCTTGAAATTCATATTATATAAAGTCTTTAAAGTTCTTACTTTTTTTTTAATATCAAATAAAATACAAGAAACACATAAAATATTTCAAAACCTTATTTCTGGTTTTGTTAACAAAGAAAAGGAAAAAAGTTAAGGAAGTACTTTGAAGTTTTCTAAAAGGTATAAAATACTTAATGAGTCCCAAAACCACATACTGAACAAAAATCCTTGATTTCTATTGAAATGAAAATAAAAACACATTGGAAATAATTAAAATTTTCTGAATAATGTTACAAATATTTAGTTGAAAAGTTCAAAATCAGCTAATCAGAATTTAAAAATTTTAATTGCAACTAGTTAATTATATTGAAAACAACCAATCAATTAGAAAAATTTTTGCCAATTAAAATTACTATCCTGAACATGTTTTTGAATCTTATTTTGATACACCAGCATAAAAATATCTAAAGAAACTTTAAATATATTTAAAAATTTGTTATAATTTAAAATAAATACTAACTTATATATTTATTTTCTAATAAAAGCATTGAAAGAATTATGGAGTTCCACAAAGGCCTTTATAAAAAATTAATCAATTGTTAGAATAGTAAAAAATTATAAAGAATAAGATTATTACCTAGAAAATAAAATTTCCACAAGTTAATATTTAATTATTGAATATGATTTTATTAAGGTCAAGTTTATTTTAAACTTTTTAAAGGTTTTTGGAATTTTATATTTTATTTAAAAAAACAAGTATTTTTTAAAAAATATATATCTGAAACATGGAGATTTTTATGAAATTTTTTTAGCAAAAATATTTAAAGTTTATGAAAGCCTTATAAGAAAATACTGAAAAACATATTATAAAAAGTATATTCATTAAGCAGTAATTTTCATAAATATTAATAACTTTAGTTTTTCAATTATTTAACAATTTATTACTTTAAAAGCCTATAAAACAGCATTGATTACTTTGTAAAACTATGGCTTTGAAAGTTTATGATGTCATGTTTTCAGTTTTTAGCAAAATATATTTGAATACAATAAATATAAATACAATTCTATTGATATTTTGGCCTGAAAATAATCTCAAAAAACTGCCGAATACTTTGAAAACCTTCACAATTGTCCAAGAGAAATGACATAAAGCATGATAATCCATATTCTCAAAAAGTCTGATCAAAAGAGATGTTTTTGATAAACAAGTAACATTCAGCATTGCAATATATCAAACAGTTCTTGACCTGAATAATAAAAATATTTCAATAAATAAAACATTAATTAAAAACAAAGTAGAAAAAAATAAGTTAAGTTTTAAAAATCTTTGAAATATTATAAATTATTACTAATAATATTTTTAGAAGAGAATTAAAAAAGGACTTGGATTTGAAGAAAAAAATTCAAATAGTGTAAATAAAAAATAACTAATTCACCAATTATTACTATAGAAGAATCTCCAAAGACCTATAAAAATACTAAAAATAATCTGGGACTACTATTGAAAAATATAGAATTAGAAAAAAGAACTTCAGCAATGTGTGAAGACCTAAACAAATAGAAAAATATAAATAAGAAATATACAGTATA